GGTTTAACACACATTTGGTTCTAAAGAGGCATTTGAGGCTATGAATTGATTTGTGAATAGTGTGGGATAGTTTGCTGAATGGTTTCAAATGTTTCTCCTCTGCACCTCTTCAAACAGCACAGCACTGATGTGCACAGGTACAAAGTGAGGAATGGCCTGGAATGAATCGCTATGACATTACCCACAACTCTCCCTCAGTTTATTAATTTCAAGGGTAATGCGTGTGGGACTTTCAAGAATAAGGGTGTTGTGTGGTTCTTACTGTAAAAATGAAGTTTGAATCCAGATTGTCATTTTTTATTTAGATTATTATAATAAAAAACATGATCATAGCCTAATGTTTTGTGATTAATTCTTATTCTTTGCAGGAATATTTCAAGGATCCATCTGGGTGATTGACCGTGTTAATCTGAAGGATCTCTTCCTCACACCTTTTTTTCCTCTTCTGTATTTTTATTTTGTTTGAAAGATCCCATGTCCTGGGCAGTAATACCCAGTTCTATGTGCAATAAATATTATATTACTCTATATATATTTACCTGTCTGTCTCCTTCGGAAAGTATTTAGACCCCTTTACTTTTTCCACATTTTGTTAGGTTACAGCCTTATTCTAAAATTGTTAAATTGTTTTTTTCCTCATCAAGCTACACACAATACCCCATAATGACGAAGCAAAAACAGATTTTTATAAATGTTTGCTCATTTATAAAAAATTAAAACATGACATTTTATAAGTATTCAGACCCTTTACTCATTAATTTGTTGAAGCACCTTTGGCAGCAATTACAGCCTCAAGTCTTCTTGGGTATGACGCTACAAGCTTGGCACACCTGTATTTGGGGAGTTTCTCCCATTATTCTCTGCAGATCCTCTCAATCTCTGTCAGGTTGGATGGGGAGCGTTGCTGCACAGCTTTTTTCCAGGTATCTCCAGAGATGTTCGATTGGGTTCAAATCCGGGCTCTGGCTGGGCCACTCAAGGACATTGTCCTGAAGCCACTCCTGCGTTGTCTTGGCTGTGTGCTTAGGGTCGTTGTCCCATTGGAAGGTGAACCTTCACCCCAGTCTGAGGTCCTGAGCGATCTGAAGCAGGTTTTCGTCAAGGATCTCTCTGTACTTTGCTCCGTTCATCTTTGCCTCGATCCTGATTAGTCTCCCAGTCCCTGCCGCTGAAAAACATTCCCACAGCATGATGCTGCCACCACCATGCTTCACCGTAGGGATGGTGCCAGGTTTCCTCCAGACGTAAAGCTAGGCATTCAGGCCAAAGACTTGTATCTTGGTTTCATCAGACCAGAGAATCTTGTTTCTCATGGTCTGAGAGTCATTTTAGGTGCCTTTTGGCAAACTCCAAGTGGGCTGTCGTGCCTTTTTCTGAGGAGTGGTTTCAATCTGGCCACTCTACCATAAAGGCCTGATTGGTGGAGTGCTGCGGAGATGGTTGTCCTTCTGGAAGGTTCTCCCATCTCCTCTGAGAAACTCCGGAGCTCTGTCAGAGTGACCATCGGATTCTTGGTCACCTCCCTGACCAAGGCCCTTCTCCCCCGATTGCTCAGTTTGGCCGGGTGGCCAGCTCTAGGAAGAGTCTTGGTGGTTCCAAACTTCTTCCATTTAAGAATGATGGAGGCCATTGTGTTTTTGGGGACCTTCAATGCTGCAGAAATGTTTTGGTACCCTTAACCAGATCTGTGCCTTGACACAATCCTGTCTCGGCGCTCTACGGATAATTCCTTCGACCTCATGGCTTGGTTTTTGCTCTGACATGCACTGTCAATTGTGGGACCTTATATAGACAGGTGTGTGCCTTTCCAAAGCATGTCCAATCAATGTAATCTACCACAGATGGACTCCAGTCAAGTTGTAGAAACGTTTCAAGGATGATCAATGGAAACAAGATGCACCTGAGCTCAATTTTGAGTCTCATAGCAACGGGGCTGAATACTTATGTAAATGTCATATTTCATTTATTTATTTTTATAAATTTGCAAACATTTCTAAAAACCTGTTTTCTCTTTGTCATTATGGGGTATTGTGTGCAGATTGCTGAGGAGTTATATTTATTTAATCCATTTTAGAATAAGGCTGTAATGTAACAAAATGTGGAAAAAGTCAACAGGTCTGAATACTTTCCTAAGGCACTGTGAACCCACATTTTTCCTCACAACACTCTTAAAAAATAAATAAGATACAGTACACCAATACATACAGATACGTGCACCATCATTGATGAGGTGGTCCTGAATAGATGGCTACCCTAAAGCCTGCTGTATTCATGGTGTGTGTGTGAAAAGTGTCCAGACACTCTGCAGACCAGTACAGACACTTGCCAGATAACACTGTGGAGGGAGCGCAGAGCCAGTCCTCATACCTCTCTCTTGTAAACAGATCTGCATCATTCGTTAATTTGATTACAGAGAACTCTGTGCTCTCCAGTGGCACTGCAGTTATTTGTCCCTCAGCTGTGTCTGCCCTTGCCAATAAAACTAATTTGTAAAATTATGGTCAGGCTGTGACAATGACCTTCTGACCTTTCTAATCTATAGAAAGGAGCAAACTTTACAGGAACGAAGGAACAGGAACGTATTATACTTATGCTAAAAAAGGTATTATATTCTACTGCCATTTACTTTATTTTCGTATTCTTACATTTTATTATTTATTATTGCTGCATTATCGAGAAGGACCTGCAAGTACGAATTTCGTTGGACGATGTATACCATGCGTATCCCGCACATACGATTAATAAAACTTGAAACATGGGGTTTATGAAAAGCCGCCTTTATGACAGCTTTGAACATACACAAAAGACCACTGCTAGAACAATGCTAACTGTAGGCCTGATTGAGTTGATACTTCTCTGTGGATCATATTCACCCCACTGCGCTCTGCCACCAATTTCCTCTCTTTACCCTTTCCTGCGGTTAATCTGCACGCACAGAGGACTGCGCACATTTCGGGAACACGCCCCTTGACAAAATAGAAATAAAAAAGGCAATAATAAATTGTTTATAGGCTATTCAGACATGTTGTTGGTGATTTATTAATTACTACTGCCACTGGTTTGCTTGTGGAATGCAATGTCTGAGTACCTGAACATATAGGCTACAAATCTGAATGTGTCTGTCTAATATGGTTTAATGGATAAGTACATTTGATTCACATAAAAGACTCTAAAAAATATCTCAACAATAACCACGTTTCCATCCACAGTTTTTATGCGAGTAAAGTCATATCATATAAAAAAATTAAAAAATTATGACAGCTGTGATGGAAACAGGAAGTTTCTCTACCATTTTATAAACGCTGACAGATTTCTTCGTTTGACATGGTGGGGGATCTTTTTGTGTCTAAAATTAATTAGAGAAATGGCGGTGGAAACGCCTTTATTGCAAATATTGATATAATAATCATCATATCGAAGTAAATGGGATGTAGCTCAGTTGGTAGAGCATGGCGTTTCATGGTTGTGGGTTCGATTCCCATGGGGGTCCAGAATGATTTTTTAAATAAAAATTTTTTATAATGTATGCACTCACTAACTGTAAGTCGCTCTGGATAAGAGCGTCTGCTAAATGACTGAAATGTAAATTTGGAGTCACGTGATGATGTGTGGTCCTCCCAATAGGATTTGGGAGACCATGCAGTTTATTAGGCTACAGATGAAATAAGGTATGATGAACTTCACAGAGTGTTGAAAGTGCACGGTGATGAGCTTGATGCTGCTTTCCAATAAATATTGAGGGTCTTATTCTGGTGACATGATGGTCGATGTTTGACAAATAAAACTTTTCTCGCTCTTATCCATAATAATCTCTTCATAGACTAGCAACCCGCACAGCCTTGCCTGCACTGTATCTGCAAGCTGTTGGCTAGTCGCAGGTGCCAAAATGAGTAGGCACATTTTGCTATTAAACGCAACCGTATTTGTGACAACTATCGGTAGAGTTGAAAATGCGATGGATTTTTATTCCGTACATACATATTACGTCATTTTTACCTGATTTAAAAAAAAATCAGCAACAAGCAACAAATGCCCATATTTTCTTTATGTTGGATGCTAGGTCTCCATATACTAGCTAGGTTTCCATCCAATTGGAACGACAGTATATGCGCATTCTCCCACCAGAGATGTTTCCATCCAATTGACTTGTTGTGGATAAAATGCTGTGCATGATGATGTAGTGCACATAACAATTACTTATGCAGTTAAATTCCCATGCATGTACTGAATAAAAAATACAATTTAAATCGGTTTCCATCGCATTTTCAATTGTACTGATGGTGTTGTAAAAAAAAAAAAAAAAACATTATTAAGGGAATGTGCCCACTCTGGTCTTGACATGTGCGCTCTAGCTAAGAACTCAGAGATACAGTTGGAGTATAGCCTACTACATTGACCATCATGTCACCAGAATAAGACCTTCGATATTTATTGGAAAGGAGCATCAAGCTCATCACAATGCACTTTCACCACCCAGTAAAGTTCATCATAACCTGTAGCCTAATAAACTGCATGGTTTCCCAAATCGTAGTGGGAGGACCATACACTATATCATTGGGTGACTCCAAGTTTACTTTGATATGATGGTTATTATATCAAGATTGCGCATAAAGGCGTTTCCACCGCCATTTCTCGCATAATTAATTTTACACACAAAAAGATCCCACCTTGTCTAGACATTTTTCTACATATAGCCTACTTTACTTGCATAAAAAGTAGGGGCGGGATGATACCAGTATCCCATATTTTTTCCATATCAAAAATGAAAACACAAAGAATAACAAACTCTTTGGTCCTTTAAAAACCTGCTGTATGTAAAATATTGTGTGCTATAGCTTGGAAAATAAATTAATGTGACTCTGGATGACAACATAATGATGTTTGTAAAAAAAAAATAGGGCTGTTTTCCTAAAGAAGTTAAATCCGCTTGATATTTTGTTTCCTTGTCGTATCGCGACATAATACAAAATCTTTAAGTGCATTTTCTATCCACGTGCTTTATTTGTCATTTTACCTTGTGCGTGACGTCCGTGAGAAAAGGGGGAGGTGAAGACCCATTCGATAAGAGAAATCAGCCACACATCCAGTGCTGAGCGCAAGTGAGATCGGGCTCTGCTTCGTTCCTCGCACACACACGGTCAGCTCCAGCCTTTCATTCTGCCCTCACTCGCTTCGGCGCACGCTGCATTCCTCCGGTAGTTTTTGGATTGCGTGCGGCGATGTTTCTCTGCAGAACTGCCTGGCAAAAATGTGGGCCTTTGGCTCGGAAGTCAGCCCACCAGTTGTATAGAGATGGTGAGTATCACATAACGGGTTCAATAGATGGCGAAACCACATTAAAGTTGTACATGATACAAGATGGCAAATGTGTATCCTTGTTGGCTTTTATTTCCTCTATATATAGGCTATGGGTAGCCTATGGGTAGAGGAATTTACGTACATTTCAGAATATAACATTTTGTTCTCATGTGGTTTGGCTTTACTGAAACCCTCTCTTCCCAAATTTAAAAGATGGCACCTGTGTTACAGGACAAGGGAAGTGAAGGTCAATTTGAATTTTGTCCAATTATTCGCATAATTTTTCATTGTGTTCATTTTGATCATCTTATTGGAGCGTTAAATTGTTACATGACACATTTGAAAGAGAAAGTCGTGTTTTCTCCCTGTCAAATCACCTCTCCCTCAAAGTATCCAAACCAAACGAGATGGGCCTTGTAATTTTGTTACGAAACGAAATGCAATTGTGTTACTATGCGGACTCCGTGGTGGCCTACAGTGCCAACAAATTTTAAATAATTTCAAATCGTTAGAATACTTTGTTTCCTTGTCTTCGGTGCCAGATGGTGACTTTGTATCGATGATGATTGCATGGCCTAGGTGTGCAAATTATACATTTGAACCATAGTTACGAAACTCGCGCTTGAAAGGGAAGGTAAACAATTACCTAACTGGTCACATAACCTTTAATTTGTTTTAAAATTCTTAATATGTGACCTTCATTAAATCTGAGGTGGCATAGAAATATGGTTCCTGCTTTTGCTCACGTGGTAGACAACGTGTCACGGGCGTCTCAATGTATGGACTGCGGACAAAGGCACGCGTCGCTCACCAAACAGCTCCCTCCGCGGGAGCGCGCAGCAATGAACTTGCATTCTTCCACCAAATAATTCCATAATGTGGTGTTGGGAAACGCTCTCAGGCGCTCCTCCAGAGTCTACCGTAAGTGTTCAATTGGGTTGAACACTATGCTCATTTTGAGACCCCTCTTTCAAAGATCTCTTCTAGCCATGGTAGCCAAAACAATGGGCAACAGTGGCGATTTTAGCATGTAAATCTTGGCGAGGCAAAAAAAAACATACGTGGGATGCATGCCAGCAAAGCCATTACAAAACACAACACTAAACAATGCATTCATTGCACTATAACGTGACAAACTGAGCCCATAAACTGTTAGGGCCTACATAAAGCTGTCCCAACAGCAGTCCCAACATCTTACCACTGCTACGCCTGGCTATCAGCAGAGCCTTGTCTGGCAGCGAAAAATAAAAACATAGCTGACTTGCTTAAACAAATGTGGTTTCTAATGACAATTAAGATGTACAAACTATGGGGACGACAAGCCGATAAGAGGCAATCCGTAATTTCCATTAAGACATTAATGAGCTAGGACGGACATAGTCAATATAACTACTTGTTTAGCACATGGGCCGTTCTTAGAGGTCTCCCTGTACACCAAGTCAGAACCGTGGGATAAATAAAGGGGGCATTTAAGCAGACAATGATAACTTTTACATTTCTCTTAAACAGGTTATAGGCTATATGTGCACCACCAAGTCAGAACAGTAGGTGGAATTAAGAGGGGGAAATAGACCAAATGATTAGGGTAACAGCCTACTACACAACATACACTTAGTATTACTTTCTTAGCTACAGTATACATATCTCCCTGGCATATTACATAATTTATGCAGCAGCATACAATACATTTTTGGACTCATCTGTTGTGCTGGGCTCACTTGAACAGGGAGCTGGCGCGGCGGTCCTTCGTGGGCAAATTTTGTCATCAAAGTCTGGCATTCTCTGGATTTATGGTGCTTTCAAGACAAACTGAAAACTCTGGAAAAAAACAAGGTCAAATCATGATGACGTCATTGATCTTAAGGTCGTAGCTCTAGAAAGAGGCCTGAGTTCCGAATATACAATTCCGAGTTGGATGATCGTTCAAAATGTATTTTCCCAGTAGGAGCTCGTTTTTTCCCAGATTTCCCAAGTTGTCTTGAACTCACTGAAGTCAAGTTTTCGCAGTTCCGAGTTAACAGTTGTTTTGAGCGCGGCACAAATCATGCTTCATTGACAGCATGGCCAATGTTGAATGTTTATCATTTTAAACTTGGAAAAGAATAGCAGGCTAGTGAACTCACTCAATAGCAGGCTAGTGACTGCTTTGCAATGCTTGCAGTTAGCCACTGATTCCTTCCAAAGCACTCATTGTTGAATTTGCGATTTCCAACTTGTGTAATGTTCATGGCCGGTGAGCACCGATACGTTTGATCTATAATTTCTCTTCATATGACAAGGATTAAAAAGGATTTGCCAGTAGATTGTCGAATTGATTCATGATGATGACTGCTAGCTAAGATTTTGAAAGTATGATGTTGACATGATCAGTCCAATCAAAGCTACTGTAGATATAATGTGATTTTCTGTGGTCAATGACCTTGAGCCTTCTTGGATGGGCACTTCTAATGTAACTCTATGGCAGCACCCAAGGGGCTTGAATTTTCAAGCTCTACCCTTAGACTTGGCAGTGATGTACTGTCCCCACTAGTGACAGAACACTGAGCTAATCACGGCGCAACTAGAGAACATTACCAACACCTACGCTCCGTATTTTCCACTGTCTGCCCCACCACCACAGAAAGCACGGAGCTAGGCTGAAACACCTGCATTTTGGAGCTGCCTTACTCAAGAAAGCAAAAAAGAGACCATGTTTGTATGCGGCTTTATTAACTCAATGTTTTTTTTTTTTTTTTTTTTTTTGTACATTGTTTGCAAACTGATATGTGACACATTAATGGCAAAATAACATGCAAAACAGCGACACCGGCCCCTGCTTTGCGTTTGTACAGCATACAACTCTACATGCACAAAAGGGCGTCTTCTTATCGCAGTGGGACCCTCCATGCCCACTGTCCTCCCTTGACCAGTGCTTAGGCACAGAGCAGGTATCATAGCTTAATCCTATGACATTGACCCACGGCCACTTGTGCTATCACAATCCCATGTCACTATAACCCTGCGACTCCAGTGGGGGTTGAACAGTGGGGGATGAGAACATTGAGGGTTAAAATCCCCCTGCATTGACACTCCCTGTTTTGTCATGGGGTGTTCCTTTTCGAAAGGAGAACCTTGTGTATTAGTTATTACATATTTTGAGCAATATTGTTCTTTCTTAATTATCAGGATCAAGAGGAAATTGACACCTACTGGTGCTCTTCCAATGGGACTAGTTATGTCCAGACTAAAATCTAGACTAAACTTAATTTGAGCCTAAAATCACTGGTCCCCCATTTTATGCTCACTCATTGTGAATGGCATGCAGGCTGTCCTGTTAGTTTGGGGTTTGCTGTACAAGTGAAACCGGACACTTGTTGTCGATGTGGGGAGTGACTTGCTGTTCATTTTGTCCTTAAAATGTTAACGGTAGCTACAGTTAACTGTGGCAAAGCTGTTCCTCTGTTTTTGTGCAAGTCTGTCTGCACGGTAGATGCATGTCTGTCTTCATGGGTTGCGTGTGTCTGATTTCTTTGTGACTATAGTCTAGATGTGTTAAGTGTGTGTGTGTGTGTACGATTGTTCGTCTTTGTGTTGTGCGTGTGTATGGCGTTTGGTGCCTGTCTGCCATGAGGGCAGGGCACTGACCTTCAACGGCATTAGGAGGAAACGCTGACTCTGGTCCAAGTCTTGGCGTAGTAAACAAAGCGCCTGGCTGCAGTGTTTTTTTCTTTCTGCTGATGTAATGGCACTCGGAAAGCACAATCAATTTGAAAGAACTACGTAAAATGACAAAACACCTCCTTGTGCTGAGTATCATAAAAATATGCTGCTGGAGTAAGATTAACTTTTTCACTTTAATATTGGTGGTGGGTCATCTGACCTGCTTTTGAATATTGCTATTGCACTAACCTTCTAGGCAAATTACATTTAGCTAGAATTCGACAACTTTTATTTCACACAAGCCTATTTCACTTTATCCCTTGTTGTTAGTCTGGTTGGAGTTCTACCAGCCAACCACTGTTTTTCAGTTGGAGGCAAATGAGCTCTGACAGGCATATTCCTGGACACCTAATCCAATAAACATCCAGAGATCGTGCTTCAACAAATCTTCTGTCCTCACGCTTCCCTCTCACTGCATTAGGTCTATCTTATTGTAATCTTTTTAAAACAATCTTATGGGGTGGGGACTAGATCAAATGTAGAATATCCTGTAACATCTACTGTGATTCCTGATGACATCTGAAGGCCAGGTGACCTTTACCTAACCGGTGACTTTTTGTTGTTGTTGTAGTAGTAGTGCCACGGCGACAGATGTCGTCGCTCCCCGGTGGTACTGGTGATAACATAATCTACGCCCTGCTGTGTGGTGGGGCCTTTGCTGGAGCCGTCGCCTACGTGAGTCTACACTTGTCTATTTGAGTTTAGATGACGTAGCTCATAGGGGGGGGGAAATAATCCCAGACTGGCCTTTTTTTTTCATAAACCTTTAACTCTAGAATGTGCTATTTTATTCTTTGACATGGCTAAAGTTGCCCTCAGAAGAATGTTATAATGCGTTTCATTGGTACATTTACATTTTACATTTGAGTCATTTAGCAGACGCTCTTATCCAGAGCGACTTACAGTTAGTGAGTGCACACATTATTATTTTATTTTTTCATACTGGCCCCCTGTGGGAATCGAACCCACAACCCTGGCGTTGCAAACGCCATGCTCTACCAACTGAGCTACATCCCTGCCGGCCATTCCCTCCCCTACCCTGGACGACGCTGGGCCAATTGTGCGCCGCCCCATGGGTCTCCCGGTCGCGGCCGGCTACGACAGAGCCTGGATTCAAACCAGAATCTCTAGTGGCACAGCTAGCACTTCGATGCAGTGCCTTAGACCTCTGCGCCACTCGGGAGGCCACAGGTGAATTGGTAGAGGTGAATGTAACTATTTTGAGCATTAAAATGATCTTGGTGTTTCTTCCAACAGACGTACACCACCGTGACCACAGACCACGCCAGATTCACAGACCGTGTTGCGGATATCAACGCTCGTCCCAAGACCGAGTGGGTTCCCAAACCATGGCCCCCCAAGAGTAAGTCTCACCTCGCCCACCGTCTTGCCTCACAACCTCGCCCACCGTCTTGCCTCACAACCTCGCCCACCGTCTTGCCTCACAACCTCAACTAACCCCTTGTGTCATTCACCTCCCAGGTTATTGGATAAGAACCTGTTTGGGTTTGGTCCGGGGTCTAAGAGAAAGAGATGTGATCCAAGCTAGGGATTGTAGGACAGCAGGCCTGGTTAATCCTCTACTTAAATCAGAGGAATGTCACTGAGTGACCACACCTAAAACTGTAGCCTGGCTATTCGGTGTGTCCTCCTTTTTCTCCCCTGGGAGAGCCTTTCTGCTGCAGTGGACATTCTGCTGAGTTCATTAGAATTCACACACACACTGATAGTGGTCTCTGTCCTCCCCCTGTCGTTGTCAAGGTGTATTAATAACTGTTGACACAGACGGGACAGCCCAGTCAGCTCTGTGTGCGGCAATATCAAGCAGTCAGTCGTTTTGGCCAGACCACCATAGACTCTTAGCCAAGTGGGCCAGCCCCCCTCACATTCTCTGGTCATTGCTGTCGGAGCCCTGCATATCGCTCTCAAGTCATCCCACTATCATTCCTTTTCGCCTTTGCCAGAATCACTTCCTGCAAACAAACACACTCCCGTCCAATACCATTCTATTTATATGACCAACTATTATGTAATCCAACTGTGGCCAGGCAGTTAGGTATTGATACTGGGAGAGGTCCATAAGGGACTACTGCTGCTGTATAAACAGCTGAGATAAGATGTATGATTACAATATATTTTGTTGTCCACTTGTAATGGATGTTTATTTTGGCAGGCTTCAGCATAATCATAAACTCGAACTACACAGATATCACACAAGCGCATGGCTGTATGGCCCATACACGCTCATACAAGTGTGTGTAAAGATACATCTGTCCATGCCTGTATCATATATCATAACTGGGTACAGATCAGACATGCCTACTAAGACCAACTCATTCATATACGTACATGATTCATACACATATCAGCCGGATCGCTATAATCATACACTCCATATAATCCACATGTAAACCTGTGACAATTTGCTTCTGTCTGTTTCCAGGCAAGGATGAGGAAGAGGAGGGTGAGTTCCTATGTGTGGCTTGACTAGCTAATGTCTTTCATTTATTATAGCTCACAGCCTGTTAAATGACTCTTTCTGAATGACCAATGAAACTCAGTTTTTAGACTCACTAAGGGTACCTTGGCATGGATTTGAGTATTTTCACTCTCTCACTGATTGCCTTGAAATGAATCTATGTTTCTCTATAGGTACACTCACAAACCTAGGTTTTTCTCTTGACACATTCACAAAACGCATTCTGAGAACCAATGCTGGGGATAAGGAGTGGATTCATGGACTCTGAGTCTTAACGTATTGCATTTCAGTGATTTTAAACAAATGCCGTGAAATGACACGATAATCTACAGTATTATTATTAGTGACGTCTCCACTCATCGTAGGGTTCCTTAATCCTCATCGGCTAGTCACGGTAGAGCACCAATCACATCGATTCTTACACCCAGGCTAGATGGTCTCCCTGTTCTTGTAAATAACTGCCTGAGCCATTTGTCTCATCTGATCAATCTTCAGTCAATTAATTTATCAGCAACAAATTCTAAGTGCTTTTAACCTGTTTAGACTTTGTGTTAAAACAGTGTAACTGGGATAAGTGTCTGCGATAAACCCATTTATTTTAATTGAAACCCAGATAAGATGTCGGGTCTAGAACAGGTTCTGCTCTGTTTGATTTTTCTGGAGTTGGTCTTGGAAGTTTTACAACCCAAGGCCTTGGCTTTCTGTCATTAGCTAGGTTTCCATCCAATTGGCGACCGATTTTCATGCGAACATTCCAAAATCCGCAAAAATAAAATGTGGATTTTCCCACCATAGATGTTTCCATCAAATTGATTGGTTGCGGATTAAGGTCTGTGCGTGATGACTTAATACTTTTTTTTGCGGTTAAATTCCCATGTACAGTAAAAACAAGTTAAATGGGTTTCCATCGCGTTTTCGACTCTACTGATTGTTTTGTCACATATGTTGCGTTATATAGCGAATGTGCCCACTCTGGTATTGGCATGTGCGCTCTAGCCAACAGCTCGCAGATACAGTGCTGATTACATGAGATTATTATGAACAATAGAGCAAGATTATTTTAATTTGTGAAACGGCAGCCAAGCATCAATCATCGTGTCACCAGAATAAGACCCTCAATATTTATTGGAAAGGAGCATCAAGCTCATCACCTTGCACTTTCACCACCCTGTGAAAATCATAATTTATTTCATCTGTAGCCTAATAAACTGCATGCTTTCCCGAGTCGTAGTGGGAGGACCACACGTCATCGCGTGACTCCAAGTTTACTTCGATGTGATTATTATATCAATATTTGCGCATAAAATCGTTTCCACCGCCATTTCTGTAATTAATTTTACAGACACAAAACGATCCCACCTTTTCTAGCGTGTTTTGTCGAAATTTGGAAAGTTTACAGACTTGCTGTTTCCGTCAGGCCTGTCCTGACAATTTATTTTTATGTTTTACCTGACAGCTACTTTACGCAAATAAAAAGGTTGTCTGGAAACCTGGTTAATGGCAGAAAAGATTGTTAGGGGACCATAAGCATCTAGTTGGTGTAAAACCTACTGTTGATGGTAATATTTGGAAGGACCCGTTCCGAAATGAGTTTGCCTGCACAAAATGTTTTGGTTTCTCTAGATGGTAAATTTAAGACTAATCCTGTTGCTGACTTTGATATAGACATTTGTATCAGTGGTACTTTGGATTCTGAAAGTAAACTCAATTTTCCCCCTATCTGATCCGACCAAGCTTCTCCCATCTGACCCTAACCTATCCTTTAGGCTGAAATACCTGTTAATCAGAACAGGGGGCTCCCCTCCTTGACACTACTCCTTTCCTATTGGACGATCTATCCCAAAACATGTTTCCCCCTTCTCTTTTACTTTTAATCCTGTCTCCCTTTACCTCTTTAAAACCTGTACCTATTTATTAGAGGCTCTTTATTCGCTACCAAACGGAGACAACCGGTGATGTCGTCTCAGTGAGCCGTTAAGGGGGTTATGCACCTAGAACGCTAATGCACAGTTAGTATTATGAGCGCATTGCACAAGCAAGAGAATATCGTAGGGAATTGATCATATTCTTGGATGTTGAATTTGAAATTTTGATAATGGTCAAATTTTTATCAGATTTGTAAGTTATTTTGGTTAAAGGTTCTCTTCCTCCCTTTCTGCTAACTCTCTCCTATGTTTACTCTTTTCAGTGTAAAAGTAAATTGCCTACACCTCGGGACATTATAGCGTACTGGACTGTTTGGATGAATCTGAAAAGGGGGAAATCTCTTCTACTTTCCTGCTACGTGCCATACATTCAACTATTGTCTGTTTCTGAAAGTTTCTCTGCTGGATGCTTCATATAGCTCCCTTCTCTTATTTCCTAATTTTAAATTAACACCGCAATTTTTAAATTAAACGTGCACAAACCACCTTGGTTGTCTCTGTGTTGTTGTTGGAGTTTCCAGGTACTGGTAGCTTTGATTGGATGGTAAGATTTGCCATCTTTATCCTCTACCCTCTACCCTCTGACCTGACCCTGTCTACGTTCACTGTCACTTTAATTTCGCTTCCCTCCCTCTGTCGTTTTTATTCCTCTGTCCCGCCCTTTCTGTCTTTGGGTTTGCATGTGGTTCTGTAGTGAATTCTCCTCTGCAGTGATTTGATTTGCTGGGGTTTGCCCCTTCCAGGTGGAGTGTGGTATGAGCGGGAGGTGTGGTAAGAGGAGTGGCACGGGCGTGTGTGATGCGGTGTATGATTGAGTGTGTAGTTGTGCACACGGCAGCTCAGGATACAGAACTAGATCTGAGCTATACATGATCAGATATAAATATATAACTTAGAAATAGTACTTTATCTGAATATTCTGTTAATATAGGCTAGTAGTGTTATGTAGGGTAATTTCACATGCTCTGCAAATCCATTTATTTCTTTGAGTATTGTGTGTAGTAGAGCATGGCTTACTCGGGCAGTGGTGTTGGTGAGCTTCAAAGAGCGATGCCATCTTTACTGATTTTATAAATGTTTCTCTCTTTGTTTCAGGTGAGGAAGCAGCAGCCGATGGAGGGGAGGAGGAAGCAGAGGAGGTGGCTGAGGGAGACGAGGAGGCTGTAGCGGCGGAAAACGTAGCAGAACCTGCTGAAGAGGCCGATTCAATCTCTGAAGAACCTGCTGTGGCGGCAGCAGTAGAGGAAGTGGCTGCAGTAGAAGCAGAGACTGTGGTGGAGGAGATCGCAGAGGCTATTGCCGAGGCTGCTGAAGTCATCGCCGAGATCGCAGAAGAGGTCGTCGAGGTGGCAAAGGAAGTGGAGGGTGCAGCAGAGGAAGTGGTCAAAGTGGAGGAGATTGCCATGCCCGCCATCGCCGAGGAGGCAGTTACTGTGGCAGAACTGGAGAGCAATGGTACGGCCCCACAGGAGGAGGCAGCCCCTGAGGCTGCTGTTGCTACGGAGTAACACACTGTCCTTCACCACCAGCCCAACACACGCACACTGCTAGACCAGCAACAAGAGGAAGGCTAGGTGTACACCATTCTTTACCCATACCATACAGTATCACCTAAAACTGATCCTACCTGGTCCTAAAACCACTTTAGAGCTTGACTCCTCAGATGTGAAGGTTCTTCTCTCGAAATAACACATTTTATTTATTAGAGTTTATGTAGATGGCGGAGGTGTAATTAATGATATGACTGATTTTTAAGTTAAAGTGAGAAGACAGAGTATAATATTTTGTTATTTCTCCTCTTCACACTAGAAGCTTCCAGACTTTATGGGGTTTGATTTATTTTATATAGTTCAGTCTCTCTCCTGGCTGTGTACAGTATAGTTGTTGTGATTCCTGGAGATGGTAAAAGCCTTAAGCTTTCACCAGAGAGGCTGTGTTGTTTCCTGAATTCCCTATCCAATCAGAACAGCAGATAGAAAGTGGTAGTGATGTCATCAATGCAGGACTATCTCTTGCACAGTTAAGGATGTAATGTTTGCAATCTCGTATAATTACAGTAAGGATAGAAATACACAGTGCAAATCACTTTCCCCCTCAACTACCTTTATCCACCCACCCCTCTCAATGTCCTCTCACCATTCTGTTTTCAAGCTCCACTGACCTCACGTATCAACGATCTTTAACTTCTCACCTGCCTTACCTCAGAGGCCCGACGCCGCATGCAAACACGAACAGGAAAACACCTCAAATGCGCCATTTGATTGTTATTTTGTTTGTAATGTGTAAGCCCAGTCCACGGCCAACCAATCACTAATACTCAGGGAGATATTACATTGTATAACTGTACTTTTTTTTAAGCCTCTTAATATGCTTCTCTGCCAGATATCACTGAGTTGGTACACGCCGATGTAATGATAAAAGCTTGGTTTAACCTAACCCGCTGTACATCTCATGCAGCCGTGTGGTAGCTTCTGCTAATAGAGACAACTCTGAACAAAACAAACTGTTGCCGTGTGTTTTTATTCTTCACTGTAAAACTGGAACTTTTGAGGGAATGACCTCGTAAGGTTAACTTGATGAACTCAACCATGTGGTCATTCAGATTTGGCTATTTTCTTAACTGGCTAACGCAGTGAGAAGTTGTGTAATTGATCAATGGAATTCATCAAGCCACACAATAAAAGTATTGAGAAACTGGAAATATCCACTCCTGTGTTTAATTTGTCTGGATTTGGTTTGCTTGCGCTAATACGCTACGCTTGTAGGGTTTTCGGGTGCAGAAAACCAGTGTCTTTCCAAAACAATGGTTTCCATCACAAGGAAAAATGACAAGACAATCCGCCTCCAGAAAGTTATGTGTTAATTGCGTAAATATCTAACACCTTTTTATAACTAAACGTTATATTTTTTAAATATAATATTATACTATAGTTTTACCATGAACCTGGGGATAAATCCCCCACACTGACACTAGTTAATTCATCTCTGCACTGCTGCCCCACGAGTCGACAAATGATTTACTTCAGACCAGCACACAAATCCGAAAAGCTCCCTAGTTGTGAAAAAATGTCAAGACCAATGTGTTTCAAATCAAACCATTATCCCATTTGGTGTGTGTGTGCCTTTGTGATATTTGGCAGGAAGGCATCTTATTTTATTTGAGGTGGCCTCTTTTATAAAGGATGGTGGACAACATGCAAAAGTACGTTCTTTATTGTATATTCTGATACACTTATTTTAATGTCTGTATTCACATTAGAAATTACTCATTCACACTTCTATTCTTACAAGGCATTTTGTGTTGCATACATGCACTGCATGGGGATTTTTATGCCCAGTTAACTGCTTTTCCAGACACTATTCCATCATCACTTCCTGTACCCTCTTCTGCGCAATGGAATGTTGTAGTGGTACACTGCAATGCCTTTCTTTGCTATGCCTGCTATCTGCACCCATGCCACTGCTACCCTGCATGCGGTAGTAGTAGCAGAGGAGGCTGGATGGAGGTGATGTAGGAGGACTGGCTCATTGGAATGGAATAAATGGAACTGAGGCAAACGTGGTTTCCATATGTTTGAAACCATTCCCATATATGCCATTCCAGCCCTTACAATGAGCCTGTCCTATAGCTCCTCCCACCAGCCTCCACTATGTATTAGTTAAGTTCTGCACATGTAGGCTCCATCCTAACCCACTCAACACCACCAGTAGGCTCCATCCTAACCCACTCAACACCACCAGTAGGCTCCATCCTAACCCACTCAATACCACCAGGAGGCTCCATCCTAACCCACTCAACACCACCAGTAGGCTCCATCCTAACCCACTCAACACCACCAGTAGGCTCCATCCTAACCCACTCAACACCACGAGGAGGCTCCATCCTAACCCACTCAATACCACCAGTAGGCTCCATCCTAACCCACTCAACACCACCCATTCTCCTGCAGTGCTCTGGTGGGTACATTCTTTCCATTGTCTGCCAGCCTGCATTGGTCAAATGCATTTCTGCTTTGCCTTATTCACCAAAATGTGCCCCCCAAAAATTGACAGGTCTTCTAGTTGAAATGTGGGACTTTTGGAGAACAAGTGATGAATGCAATAGAGGTTAATGCCACAATGCACGGTGAAGGTCTATATTCACCTGGTACTGGACATATTGATGCAAACGCAAAAAATGGTCTGAACCCATTCGGATGGCCTTTTTTCTTTCTGAAGAAGCACTAGCTAACCCCTATGTCTGTCTTGTTTTTGCGAAGACTGACTTTGTTTGTACAACACAAGCTACCTTTTCGGTCTGGTCTCACTGTGCTTGTTTCAACTAGCATGGTTTCCTGTAAGTCATTGTCCTCTGTCTGGCTAGTGGCTACGTGGTGTTTGTCTGCACTTGCTTGTATTCTCCCTAACCCATCAAGTCAATTGATGGTAACGGTTTTGGTCAAACTGCACTTTTCAAACAAGAATGCGTCTTTCACCGTCTCTTGGGATTTGTACACAAAATACTACAACTTTCATGTTGGCATGGCTACCTGCCTCTGTTTTTCTGGATCTCCTTTTTACGCATCACATTGGGTGAGTGTGGTACAGTGACTTATTCCACATTTTGTTACATTATAGCCTTATTCTAAAATGGATTTAAAAAACAATCTAAGTCAATCTCCACCCAATACCCCATAATGACAAAGCAAAAACAGGTTTAGAAATGTTTGCAAATGTATTAAAATAAACATATCACATTTACATAAGTATTCAGACACTTTACTCAGTACTTTGAAGCACATTTGGCAGCGATTACAGCCTTTAGTCTTTTTGGGTATGACGCTACAAGCTTGGTACACCTGTATTTGGGGAGTTTCTCCCATTCTTCTCTGCAGATCCTCTCAAGCTCTGTCAGGTTGGATGGGGAGCGTCGCTGCACAGCTATTTTCAGGTCTCTCCAGAGACGTTCGATCTGGTTCAAGTCCGGGCTCTGGCTGTGCCACTCAAGGACATTCAGAGACTTGTCCGAAGCCACTCCTGTGTTGTCTTGGCTGTTTGCTTAAGGTCGTTGTCCTGTTGGAAGGTGAACCTTCGCCCCAATCTTAGGTCCTGGGAGCTGTGGAGCAGGTTTTCATCAAGGAGCTCTCTGTGCTTTTCTCCGTTAATCTTTCCCTCGATCCTGACTAGTCTCCCAGTCCCTGGAGCTGAAAAACATCCCCACGGCATGATGCTGCCACCACCATGCTTCACTGTAGGAATGGTGCCAGGTTTCCTCCAGACGTGACGCTTGGCATTCAGACCAGACAATCTTGTTTACATTTACATTTACATTTTTGTCATTTAGCAGACGCTCTTATCCAGAGCGACTTACAGTTAGTGAGTGCATACATTATATATATTTTTCATACTGGCCACCCGTGGGAATCGAACCCACAACCCTGGCGTTGCGAACGCCATGCTCTACCAACTGAGCTACATCCCTGCCGGCCATTCCCTCCCCTACCCTGGACGACGCTGGGCAAATTGTGCGCCGCCCCATGGGTCTCCCGGTCGCGGCTGGCTACGACAGAGCCTGGATGTTTCTCATGGTCAGAGTCCTTTATGTGCCTTTTGGCAAACTCCAAGCGGGCTGTCATGTTCCTTTTACTGAGGAGTGGCTTCCGTCTGGCCACACTACCATAAAGGCCTGATTGGGGTAGTGCTGCAGAGATGGGAGAACCTTCCAGAAGGACAACCATCTCCACAGAGGTACTCTGGAGCTCTGTCAGAGTGACCATCGGGTTCTTGGTCACCTTCCTGACCAAGGCCCTTCTCCCCTGATTGCTCAGTTTGGCCGGGCGGCCAGGTCTAGGAAGAGTCTTGGTGGTTCCAATCTTCTTCCATTTAAGAATGATGGAGGCCACTGTGTTCTTGGGGACCTTCAATGCTGCAGAAATGTTGTGGTACCCAGATCTGTGCCTCGACACAATCCTGTCTCGGAGCTCTACGGACAATTCCTTCGACCTCATAGCTTGGTTTTTGCTCTGCCATGCACTGTCAACTGTGGGACATTATCTACACTACCGGTTAAAAGTTTTAGAACACCTACTCATTCAACGTTTTTTCTTTATTTTTACTATTTTCTACATTGTACAATAATAGTGACGACATCAAAACTATGAAATAACACATATGGAATCATGTAGTAACCAAAAAAGTGTTAAACAAATCAAAATCTATTATATATTTGAGATTCTTCAAATAGCCACCTTTGCTTTGATGACAGCTTTGCATACTCTTGGCATTCTCTCAACCAGCTTCATGAGATAGTACCCTGGAATGCATTTCATTTAACAGGTGTGCCTTCTTCAAAGTTAATTTGTGCCTTCTTAATGTGTTTGAGCCAATCAGTTGTGTTTTGACAAGGTAGGGGTGGTATACAGAAGATAGCCCTATTTGGTAAAAGACCAAGTCCATATTATGGCAAGAACGGCTCAAATAAGCAAAGCGAAACGACAATCCATCATGACTTTAAGACATGAAGGTCAGTCAATACGGAACTTTTCAAGAACTTTGAAAGTTTCTTCGAGTGCAGTCGCAAAAACCACCAAGGGCTATGATAAAACTGGCTCTCATGAGGACTGCCACAGGAATGGAAGTTCATTAGAGTTCATTACCAGCCTCAGAAATTGCAGCCCAAATAAATGCTCCACAGAGTTCAAGTAAGGGCTGTGTAAGGGCTATTTGACCAAGAAGGAGAGTGATGGAGTGCTGCATCAGATGACCTGGCCTCCACAATCCACCGACCTCAACCAAATTGAGATGGTTTGGGATGAGTCGGAACGCAGAGTGAAGGAAAAGCAGCCAACAAGTGCTCAGCATATGTGGGAAATCCTTTAAGACTGTTGGAAAACCATTCCAGGTGAAGCTGGTTGAGAGAATGCCAAGAGTGTGCAAAGCTGTCAAGGCAAAGGGTGGCTACTTTGAAGAATCTCAAATATAGAATATATTTTGATTTTAACACTTTTTTGGTTACTACATGATTTCATATGTGTTATTTCATAGTTTTGATGTCTTCACAATTTTTCTACAATGTAGAAAATAGTACAAAAATAAAGAAAAACACTTGAATGAGTAGGTGTGTCCAAACTTTTGACCGGTAGTGTAGACAGGTGTGTGCCTTTCCAAAGCATGTCCAATCAATTCATTCTACCACAGGTGGACTCCAATCAAGTTGTAGAAACATCTCAAGGATGATCAATGGAAACAGGATGGACCTGAGCTCAATTTTGAGTCTCATAGCAAAGGGGCTGAATACTTTTGTAAATAAGGTATTTAAAAAATATATTTTTTTAAATAAATTTGCTAATTTCTAAAGACCTGTTTTCATTTTGTCATGTGTGTGTGTTATTTTTACTATTTTCTACATTGTAGAATAACAGTGAAGACATCAAAACTATGAAAAAATACATGGAATCATGTAGTAACCAACAAACAAAAAAGTGTTACATTTTGATTAGTGTATTTTATATTTGAGATTCTTCAAAGTAGCTACCCTTTCCTTGATGACAGCTTTGCGTACTCTTGGCATTCTCTCAACCAGCTTCATGAGGTAGTACCCTGGAATGCATTTCATTTAACAGGTGTGCCTTGTTAAAAGTTAATTTGTGGAATTTATTTCCTTAACTCGTTTGAGCCAATCAGTTGTGTTGTGACAAGGTAGGGGTGGTATACAAAAGATAGCCCTATTTGGTAAAAGACCAAGTCCATATTATGGCAAGAAAAACTCAAATAAGCAAAGAGAAACGACAGTCCATTACCTTAAGACATGAAGGTCAGTCAATCCGGAAGATTTCAAGAACTTTGAAAGTTTCTTCAAGTGCAGTCGCAAAAACCATCAAGCGCTATGATGAAACTGGCTCTCATGAGGACCGCCACAGGAAAGGAAGACCCA